TGCTGACCCTAGAAATTTTCTTTTGTTCTTCTCTATCACTGACCAATCATTCTATGACTGATTTTGTTTAATTTGATTAAAAACTGTCTTTTCAACTTTTTTTTAAGTTTACCAAATTTTTTTTTTCTCATCTCTTATGCATTGTTCTTTTGGTGTCATAAATCAATTCTCCTTGATTTTTACACTTATGATATTCTTTTCTATTAAAACTACATTTTTATAAGCGCTCCTTCATCGACATATGTCCTGTATTATTCTCCTTGATTTTTGTACGTGTTATTTTTTAAAAAATCTTTTTTAATAGGCTTTAGTTGATCATTCTGTGTATTTTCTACTTCTCTGACATTATTTTCCTCAGTATTTACAAAGTCTCCTATTTTCCCCATAATCACAGATTCTGCCAACATTTTCTCCCCAACCTACAACCATGTTTGAAATGTCACTAAAAGTGCATGTATCAACGCAAAATGTGTAAATATATATTTTAAATAATATAAATTTTAGTGTGCTATAAATCATAATACTACTTACTTTTTTTTAGAGAGATTTTTGCTATAGGGTGTGTGCACTCGCCAGAGAGACAGAGAGAGACTGAAAGTGAGAAATCACCCATAAAGGGGTATGACCATGCCACAATCCCTTCTCTTCCATTCTCCTCTTGGTATTTTGGGAACGCACCCACATGCACCTGCTGTGAATTTTAAGCCACCAGGAATGGGATTCAAGCTGCAGTCCAGTGACATAACCATTGTGTCATCTGTTGGTCCCAATATTGCTTACTTTTCCAATGCTTTTTTTCAGGATCTATGTTGCTGCCTAGATATCTAGTACATTAGCTTCTAACTTCCACAAATTGTTCTATTATGCATGCTCACACATGGTGGAATCCTTTTGCCACAAACAATGCCATCATGAGTATCAGTATGCTTTTCTCCTTTCACTCTTGTCAAAGGGCTTATCTGGGACACATCCCCAGGTCTATACTCACAGGCAGAACGCTTTTTAGTAGAAAGCTTTTTAGTATATCAGAATTCTGCATGCCCCTCAAGCTTACAAGTATTTGGTATCATCTACTTTTCTAATAAAAATGAATGCATCTCATATCTTTTTAAATGAGCACTTTTGAATAGTTAATGAGCATTTTTCAGATTTTCTATTACATTTCTATGTAATGTTGAATTTCAATATTTAGTATGCATTTTTTTCAGATTTTCTAAGTTCGAGCATCTTTTTATTTAGCATATCCTTTCAAGTTTAGAAGTTACCTTGTTCTTATAAACTTCAGAGGATTATGAGTTGCACTGTACCAGATGTGTTTTCTGCATTTCTTGAAATAATACCTTTTTAGGGAACCAGCAGTTGGCGTAATGGCTATGTCACTGGACTCCCATGTAGTAGACCTCAGTTTGAGTCCCAGACCCAGTGGCTTAAACTCACATTGGGTGTGTTTGCATGCATGCCCATGATCCCGAGAGGAGAATGGAGGAGAAGGGATTGTGGTGTGGCAATCCTTCCTGGGGGTGATTTCTCACTTTCTGTCTATTTCTCTCTCTCTTTCTGGCAAGGAAAGCATGCTATAGCAAAAACCTCTCCAAAAAAAAAAAAAAGAAAAGAAATAATACCTTTTTATTCAGTTTATTCATATCATGATTTACTGATGTTTATCAAATGTTTAAGCAAGGATAATCCATATATCATAGTATATTAATCCCTACTTTCTTTTGTTATAATGAATAAAAACATTTAAAAATATATCTGGCATATGGGAACCAGCAGTTAGCATAATGGCTATGTCGCTGGACTCCCACATAGTCGACCGCGGTTCGTGTCCCACTGCCGGGCAAGCGTATGTGCCCTATAGTGAAAAATCTCTCCAACAAACAAACAAACAAATATATATATATATATATATATATTTGGCATAGAGTAATCAATACATTGTCATTTCATTGTTGTTAATTTTCCTAAAATGAAGGAAAACACAGAGTATGACTATTACTTTTTACTTGTTACATTGGTGGTTTTCAAACTATGCCCCTTGAACTCCTTAAGAACTTACTCAAGGAAGGAAGAGTGAATAAGAAAATACAGCAATAGTGCCTTCTTCTCTCCTGCAATTCAGTGTAATTTCAAACAGAGAAACTCTCTTTTTGTTCATTTTGTGCTCCTGTATAAATTATATTTACAAAATATCACTGGTATAGTAAACATGTAGATTTTGAATGAAGGAGTTGATCCTTAAGTGGTAGCTCTGGCATGAGGTGAAAATAACTTAGGTAGATCCTACAGTATATATTCATCTTTTTATTCATAATCAACTTGGCTTTGTAAATACTTTCAAGTCATTAAATCTTTTTTAAAAATTTGAACACACCCTTCCACATCATCTTAAAGAAGATGATGAATCATAAAGATAGATCCTTTTCCCAATGAGGCTCTTCTCACAGAGCTATTTGCAAAGGCAAATATATTGAAATCATATATTAAAACTTAAAAGTTCCATTTTCTCCAGATTTTAAAAGGAATAAAACATCCTCCTTGGTTTGTCACAATATGGCATGTTTACTATGCCTAACAAACCTTATTCAGCGCTGAGGCCTTGGGTCAAGATTTTAAATACATGTAAGATGATTGAGACCAATTTGAATAACACACTAATTGCCAACTTAGATTCACCTCCAGCCACAAGACATAAAAGAGTGAGGGGAGTATTCTTGTAGAGTCGAGAGACATGCTTCAAATCCAATAGGTCTGTTGTGACTGAACTCCATAACAGAAACAATGTTTTAGAATATTCAGATTTCTTAGAAAAGAAGCTCAATGTACAGATTTTTATTTTGAGAGATTTTCACTATAGGGTGCGTGCGCTCGCCAGACAGACAGAGACATTAGAGACAGAAAGCGAGAAATCACCCCCCAGAGAGGATGATCACGCCACAATCCCCTCTCCTCCATTCTCCTCTTGGGATCTTGGGCACACACGCACACGCGCCCGGCGTGAGTTTTAAGCCACCGGGTCCGGGACACGAACCGCGGTCAACTACGTGGGAGCCCAGCGACATAGCCATTACGCTAACTGCTGGTTCCCAATGTACAGATTTTTATACCATATCTCATTTTAAAATGTTGACCTCTAATTCAAATTTCGAACACAGCTCAATCACTCCTGATCAAAGCACAGCAGTCTGCTGAATCCAGGCTGTAGGTGATTTATTTGTAATCCACAGGTTAAGTGCCAGACTTGTAGAAATAGCAGTAAATGGTTCGACACCTAAACGTACAATAATCCAATGCATTTTCTTTTAACCCTGAGAAAATCAGATTAGGATTTCTGCTTCAAGGGGCTTGGATTTGCAGTAAGAAATTTTCCTCAGATTTATGTTGTTACACCCAAATATAGAACTGCATAACACAGAACGTGATTCTTATAAGAAGCTGTCACAGACACAGTGTAACAGGTATCTGTTCTATCATCTATAGAGTTCTATAGGAGAAAGAATATACGTAATATGGAAAGGACCAACGATTCCATGTTGACAGAATTTGTTCTGGTGGGGCTTTCAGCTCATCCAAAGCTTCAGACAGTTTTCTTTGTGCTAATTTTGTGGATGTACCTGCTGATCCTGCTTGAAAATGGAATCCTCATCTCAGTAATCATCTACGACTCTCGCCTGCACACCCCTATGTATTTCTTCCTCTGCAATCTGTCTTTCCTGGACATTTGTTACACAAGCTCATCTGTCCCACTAATCCTCGACAGTTTTCTGACTGTAAGGAAAAGAGTTTCCTTTTCTGGCTGCATGGCACAAATGTTTCTCTCCTTTGCCATGGGGGGAACAGAGTGCGTGCTTCTTGGCATGATGGCCCTTGACCGCTATGTGGCCATCTGCTACCCACTGAGATACCCTGTCATCATGAGCAAGGGTGCCTACGTGTCCATGGCAGCTGTATCATGGCTCACTGGGCTTACTAACTCAGTGGTACAGACATCTCTTGCAATACGACTACCATTCTGTGAAGGAATAAAACATCCTCCTTGGTTTGTCACAATATGGCATGTTTACTATGCCTAACAAACCTTATTCAGCGCTGAGGCCTTGGGTCAAGATTTTAAATACATGTAAGATGATTGAGACCAATTTGAATAACACACTAATTGCCAACTTAGATTCACCTCCAGCCACAAGACATAAAAGAGTGAGGGGAGTATTCTTGTAGAGTCGAGAGACATGCTTCAAATCCAATAGGTCTGTTGTGACTGAACTCCATAACAGAAACAATGTTTTAGAATATTCAGATTTCTTAGAAAAGAAGCTCAATGTACAGATTTTTATTTTGAGAGATTTTCACTATAGGGTGCGTGCGCTCGCCAGACAGACAGAGACATTAGAGACAGAAAGCGAGAAATCACCCCCCAGAGAGGATGATCACGCCACAATCCCCTCTCCTCCATTCTCCTCTTGGGATCTTGGGCACGCACGCACACGCGCCCGGCGTGAGTTTTAAGCCACCGGGTCCGGGACACGAACCGCGGTCAACTACGTGGGAGCCCAGCGACATAGCCATTACGCTAACTGCTGGTTCCCAATGTACAGATTTTTATACCATATCTCATTTTAAAATGTTGACCTCTAATTCAAATTTCGAACACAGCTCAATCACTCCTGATCAAAGCACAGCAGTCTGCTGAATCCAGGCTGTAGGTGATTTATTTGTAATCCACAGGTTAAGTGCCAGACTTGTAGAAATAGCAGTAAATGGTTCGACACCTAAACGTACAATAATCCAATGCATTTTCTTTTAACCCTGAGAAAATCAGATTAGGATTTCTGCTTCAAGGGGCTTGGATTTGCAGTAAGAAATTTTCCTCAGATTTATGTTGTTACACCCAAATATAGAACTGCATAACACAGAACGTGATTCTTATAAGAAGCTGTCACAGACACAGTGTAACAGGTATCTGTTCTATCATCTATAGAGTTCTATAGGAGAAAGAATATACGTAATATGGAAAGGACCAACGATTCCATGTTGACAGAATTTGTTTTGGTGGGGCTTTCAGCCCATCCAAAGCTCCAGACCGTTTTCTTTGTGCTAATTTTGTGGATGTACCTGCTGATCCTGCTTGAAAATGGAATCCTCATCTCAGTAATCATCTACGACTCTCGCCTGCACACCCCTATGTATTTCTTCCTCTGCAATCTGTCTTTCCTGGACATTTGTTACACAAGCTCATCTGTCCCACTAATCCTCGACAGTTTTCTGACTGTAAGGAAAAGAGTTTCCTTTTCTGGCTGCATGGCACAAATGTTTCTCTCCTTTGCCATGGGGGGAACAGAGTGCGTGCTTCTTGGCATGATGGCCCTTGACCGCTATGTGGCCATCTGCTACCCACTGAGATACCCTGTCATCATGAGCAAGGGTGCCTACGTGTCCATGGCAGCTGTATCATGGCTCACTGGGCTTACTAACTCAGTGGTACAGACATCTCTTGCAATACGACTACCATTCTGTGCTAATAACGTCATTAATCATTTTGTCTGTGAAATTCTGGCTATCCTAAAACTAGCCTGTGCAGATATTTCCATCAATGTGATCAGTATGGCAGGATCAAATCTGATTTTTCTGGTTATTCCACTGCTTGTCATTTCCATCTCTTACGTGTTTATTGTTGCTACCATTCTGAAGATCCCTTCCACTGAAGGAAAACGTAAGGCCTTTTCCACCTGCTCAGCCCACCTGACAGTGGTGATTATATTCTATGGAACCATTTTCTCCATGTATGCTAAGCCCAAGTCTAAAACATCTGTTGGTACAGACAATCAAGACATCGTTGATGCCCTCATCTCCCTATTCTATGGGGTGATGACACCCCTGAAAGTTCCATTTTCTCCAGATTTTAAAAGGAATAAAACATCCTCCTTGGTTTGTCACAATATGGCATGTTTACTATGCCTAACAAACCTTATTCAGCGCTGAGGCCTTGGGTCAAGATTTTAAATACATGTAAGATGATTGAGACCAATTTGAATAACACACTAATTGCCAACTTAGATTCACCTCCAGCCACAAGACATAAAAGAGTGAGGGGAGTATTCTTGTAGAGTCGAGAGACATGCTTCAAATCCAATAGGTCTGTTGTGACTGAACTCCATAACAGAAACAATGTTTTAGAATATTCAGATTTCTTAGAAAAGAAGCTCAATGTACAGATTTTTATTTTGAGAGATTTTCACTATAGGGTGCGTGCGCTCGCCAGACAGACAGAGACATTAGAGACAGAAAGCGAGAAATCACCCCCCAGAGAGGATGATCACGCCACAATCCCCTCTCCTCCATTCTCCTCTTGGGATCTTGGGCACGCACGCACACGCGCCCGGCGTGAGTTTTAAGCCACCGGGTCCGGGACACGAACCGCGGTCAACTACGTGGGAGCCCAGCGACATAGCCATTACGCTAACTGCTGGTTCCCAATGTACAGATTTTTATACCATATCTCATTTTAAAATGTTGACCTCTAATTCAAATTTCGAACACAGCTCAATCACTCCTGATCAAAGCACAGCAGTCTGCTGAATCCAGGCTGTAGGTGATTTATTTGTAATCCACAGGTTAAGTGCCAGACTTGTAGAAATAGCAGTAAATGGTTCGACACCTAAACGTACAATAATCCAATGCATTTTCTTTTAACCCTGAGAAAATCAGATTAGGATTTCTGCTTCAAGGGGCTTGGATTTGCAGTAAGAAATTTTCCTCAGATTTATGTTGTTACACCCAAATATAGAACTGCATAACACAGAACGTGATTCTTATAAGAAGCTGTCACAGACACAGTGTAACAGGTATCTGTTCTATCATCTATAGAGTTCTATAGGAGAAAGAATATACGTAATATGGAAAGGACCAACGATTCCATGTTGACAGAATTTGTTCTGGTGGGGCTTTCAGCTCATCCAAAGCTTCAGACAGTTTTCTTTGTGCTAATTTTGTGGATGTACCTGCTGATCCTGCTTGAAAATGGAATCCTCATCTCAGTAATCATCTACGACTCTCGCCTGCACACCCCTATGTATTTCTTCCTCTGCAATCTGTCTTTCCTGGACATTTGTTACACAAGCTCATCTGTCCCACTAGCACTCGACAACTTTCTGACTGTAAGGAAAAGGGTTTCCTTCTCTGGGTGCATGGCACAAATGTTTCTCTCCTTTGCCACAGGGGTGACAGAGTGCGTGCTTCTTGGCATGATGGCCCTTGACCGCTATGTGGCCATCTGCTACCCACTGAGATACCCTGTCATCATGAGCAAGGGTGCCTACGTGTCCATGGCAGCTGTATCATGGCTCACTGGGCTTACTAACTCAGTGGTACAGACATCTCTTGCAATACGACTACCATTCTGTGCTAATAACGTCATTAATCATTTTGTCTGTGAAATTCTGGCTATCCTAAAACTAGCCTGTGCAGATATTTCCATCAATGTGATCAGTATGGCAGGATCAAATCTGATTTTTCTGGTTATTCCACTGCTTGTCATTTCCATCTCTTACGTGTTTATTGTTGCTACCATTCTGAAGATCCCTTCCACTGAAGGAAAACGTAAGGCCTTTTCCACCTGCTCAGCCCACCTGACAGTGGTGATTATATTCTATGGAACCATTTTCTCCATGTATGCTAAGCCCAAGTCTAAAACATCTGTTGGTACAGACAATCAAGACATCGTTGATGCCCTCATCTCCCTATTCTATGGGGTGATGACACCCCTGCTCAATCCACTCATCTACAGTCTGCGGAACAAGGATATAAAAACTGCTGTTAAAAATATGCTGTGTAGGAAGAACATTTCTGTTAGGATATGAACAGTGATTGTCATTATGTGTCTCAATACTCCATGCTGCCTCACACTCAGAATTCAGAAGGAGAAAATTACCAAGTAAAGACATATTTATTCTGTGGCATTCTATATATATGAGAAAAATATTTTGGTTGCTATTATTACTGATAGTTTTTGTTGTAAACGTGAAAGTGAAACATACTGCTGGTTTTAAGACAGGTTATTAAGGAAATGCAAAATGCCGACAATCTCTTAGGTAGTCCAACAAAAGGTGTTGTAACAGCACTTTCTAAGCTATAGTAAGTAAATTCTTAATTAGTACACAAAGTGAATGTTAATAATTCTATATTGCAACACGTGTGCTCAAAGCATTCTTTAAAGTTTCAATTCACTTGCACCCTATTATTCTCAGGAAAAGTAGATTTAAGTGCTCTGTGGAGAATATCAGCTTCAGGGATTGACAGGTGGCGTAGTGTTTAAGAGTGCTAGACTTCCATATGGCTGACCACAGTTCAAGTCCCAGACCTGGCAGCTTGCTTTCTCACGGCCCCCCTCCTCCTGCCACACTCTTACTCTTGCTCTGTTCCCTGCTGGTCAAATTTAAAAATAAATAAATAAATTAAGTTAAATAGTTCTTAAAAAAAAAATCCCCTTCAATTCAGTTATGCAGGATTCCCATAGAAAAACTAAATTTATAACTACAATTTTACTAAACACATACTGAAGCAAACTGCAATTAGTGAGAGTTTATATCTACAATAATTATAGTCAATGTAAATGGACCAAACTCGTAATTTTAAAAATAGCATTATTATAGTGGTATTTTAATATTTTATTTTAAGTGGATCTATAACTTTTTATTTTATTTTAACTGTGTGTTCACAAGAAACATGTAATGCATGACATAAAATGAGAATTGAAATAAAAAGATGGAAAAACTATACTAGGAAATAATAACCAAAACCTGATGTTACTATTTTAATATGTGGCAAAATGGATTTAAGACCAAAAAAAAAAAAACACTATTAAAAGAAAAATAGATGCATCATGCTAAAAGGTTTATTTAACCAGGAGGATGTATAATTTTAAGTTTTATTTTTCTAGTAAAATAGCCTCCATGTAATAGGAAATTTTCAGCTGCCTTTCATTATAGGACCACTATCCTATATGCATTCATTATTGACCAAAACATTGCTATGCAGCACATAACTGTATTTCTAACCTCACTGTTTTGTGACTCAAGGATATATGTGGTCTATAATATTTTTTCTTTGAGGAGTTTGCTGAGATTTTCTACGTGGCCTAATTTATAATTAATTTCTGTAAAAGTTCCAACAGTACTTAGAATGAAGATATAACCTAAATGTAAATTTTATTATATGTGAAATAATGGATGGGTTTGGGGTTTTATTATTTGTGTCATTGTTTTTTCAATCTACGGATCACAAACATTTGTGTTATATAATCAATTTCTTCCACCCTGGCTAGATATATTTTACTATACTTTTTAATGAAACAGAAGGAATAGAAAATTATCAAAGTATATTTACTTATAATAAGAACTTCTGAAAAAATTGTTTTCTAATTTGCATGTGGCTAACTAGAAAAAGACACACAGAGAGAGGGAGAAAGTGAGAAATCACCCCCTACCAGCAATGACCAGGCCACCATCCCATCTCCTCCATTCTCATCTCTGGATTTTGAGCAAGTGCACACACGCACACACCACGTGCAGTTGGTCATGTGGAGTCCAGCTGCCTTAAACTCCATGCCATTCACTGGTCCCCAAACTTTTATTTCGGTTATATTTGCCTATCTAGTAATCTGTGTGGTTAGGATCATAATCTAAAATATGTCTCTCACAGTGAGTCCCAGCAAAAAACATTCAAAAAACACTGCTCTACATCTTAATCACTATTATTTAGTGCATTGTGCTTTATTAAGAGATACAGAGAGAGTTAAATCTTTCTGTTTGTTTCTGTTGACTTTGCACTGTATATCCTACCATGTTTATGTATTTCACTATTCATGTGCAGTTGAGACATCAATTATATATTTAGTATAGATATAAATTCTATTATTAAAAACTATTTCTCAAAGGTTTAATGTGTTTGCTTTTTTCCCATATTAATAACATGACTTGCTTTTCATGTACATTTTAAAAAATTTACCTTCATCTCCTTTTCTGGCTTAAACATGAAATGTTTCTTTTTTTCTCATTTCATCTTTGATATGTAGGAATCCTTTTTCAATCTTTTATTTATTTATTTATTTATTTATTTATTCATTCATTCATTCATTCATTCATTCATTCATTCATTCCTTAATTTGACCAGAGAGAGACAGAGGGTAAGAGTGAGAGAAAAAGTAAGTGGGAAAGCAAGCCACCAGATTCAGGACTCGAACCTTGGTCGGCCATGTGGGAGTGTCCAGTGCCTTAACCACCACACCACCTGCTGGTCCCTCCTTTTTCAATCTTATATCTGTGTATTTTCTGCCTTTTCTAAAGCTTTCATAAGAGAGTTTCATTTATCTTTGATACAATGCTAAAGATTACTTCTTATATACAATGACATTCAAATTAAGATTATTCACATTTTATTATACAATCTGTTTTCTATTAAAAGACAAGTATACTTTATAATTTTATTGGTGGCCAAAAAAACTGGTTTGATAATAATTTGCTATGCCAGAGAGTTGAAAAGAATAGCACGACAGTGTGGAAGGAGGGTGGGGAAAGGGAAGGATATAGGGAAGGAAATCAGGAAGAAAAAATAGAGAGGCAAGGCATTTGTGGAACACAGAAATGGTTTATGACCTGTTGATGACAACATGTATAGTACTGTCAACTGGATTGGTCTGAGATGTATTTCATGTTGGGTAAATTCTCTTTATGAGATAAATGATGTATAGCAATTGAATGTTTAAAAAATAATAAGAAAAATAAAAATAAATTTAAAAAAAGCATAGTGCAATACATGATGGGAATATAGAAAATGTAAGGCCTTTATGAGACTGCAGGGCAGGTATAAAGACTTGTGTGTTTCTATTTTAGGATATCATCATTATGTATGAATTTTCATTCTTTTAAGTTTGTTTATATTTTTTTCTTTCATGAGAGAGAGACAGGAACCCGGCAGGTCTTCAT